AAAGTTAATTCCACCCATTGTGTTAGTTACAGCATTTTAAACACAATGCTTAAAATTGTTTAAGCACCCTAACAGGAAAGTACATTTAAACACAGAGTAGCCACAGGCATTTAATTGTGCACCAGCAGTGGGCATTTAAATAAACTTCGGCCAGCTCAAGCTTACCACCATTTCAAAAGTCTGGCATTTAAAGGTTAAAATTTAACCAAATTCTCATCTTAAACTGAAAAGGACTACCCCTGAATATAATAAATAACAAATAAAGTTAAAAAATGTATATAAAACTTCTGAGAAATTGACAATTATCTGTAACCACATATAAATGACAGACAATATGGCTGGCACAAGAGACAGCAGGACCTTCCAAGATGAACAGGATAAGGAATAAAGTCATACAAAATAACTACTCACTATTCAAACCTGCAAAGAGTGCATTACAAAATTAAACATTACATAGCTCAGGTAAACTGAGGGACAAAAAGGAGCATTCAGTCAACAACACACTGATGAAATAATTATCAAAGTTTCTAGGTGACAACAAAAAATATATGTTTCTTAAGTGAATTAAGTTACCTGGCAACAAAACGTGACATGCCATGTGGAAACGATTCCTTCAATGAACTGACTGCATAATCCAGAGGTTTCTTCAGTAATGGTTCAATAAAACTAGATAACTTGCGGCCTGCACCAGGTGTAACTCGATGTGAAGCAGGTACAATGTGACACTTAGCTCGGATGAAATCCACTCGTTCAACCTAGTGAAAGCAAATTTTGAACTGTTAAGTACATTAAACAACCTACCTCAAATGAGCATAGATAACAAGAAGTCCACTGTAAGAAAATATTGTACAGTGTACTCTTGCATCCATAGTAAGCAAATGGAGTAGCAGCAGGGTTAATTAAAAAAAACTGGAAAAACCCACTACCCATGCTATATTCAACACTGAAATTAATTATTACTTGCTTGCCTTCATGCCGGCAAGTGAAGAGTGAGACAATATCCTTCCAGCAAAAGAAAGCAACTCCTGTTCAGGGGTAGTAAAAGGTGGTATAAAAAGCAATAAAATAATATCACCCCACCCACCTCCTAACAGCAGTGGATGGAAGCAGCAGGCTGCCCTGCCTCGGGGCAGACATGTTGGCCTGGCTAAGGGAAGTGAGGTTAAGTTAAGGTGTGAGCTACCATACCGAGATCTGCAGGAGAAATGGGGTATAAAGTGTCCTTGGGACATAAGGTCATCTCGCAATTTCTCCTCATATGTAGGGCTGTGAGGGGTGGCCAAATTTCTCCACCTTCTTGTGAGATACCAATGGAAAAGCTGTCAAAAAGTTGTCAGAAAGGGCTATTCCAGTAGTTCCAGAAGATTCTCAACACCCATTTTACTCCACCTGGAATTTCCTCTGCAGAGGGCCCTGGAACATCTTTTCAGATATCAGAAGATTCAGCTGCTGGGTCTTCTGCAACCGGAGAGAAGCAGCTAACGTCCCTCAGAGAGTCTGGTAACAGGCCCACTGAGAATGGATGAAGATCTCTTGCAGAACAGCCCATTTAAAACAAGACATGACAAAGATGGCTCCCCCAAAGCTGCTGAAAGTTCAGCTGGAAGCTTAACTATGAGTCCAACTAGGACAAGCAATGGCGCTCTGCTGTCACTGTCAGTAAACAAAAGACAGCTGGAGGTACCCTACCATTAGTAAGCCAAGAGAAAAAGAAGCTTAGGACCACCAGTTACACTTAGATACTTGAGAGCTCGCTGAAAGTGCCCTTCAGAGAGGGCACATAACTGGAAGTGGGCATCACTGCAGAGAAGCTGAAAGTGTCGGGATGGAGACTGATAAAGATTACCAAAAGCAGAGCTGTGTCTCTCTTCCATGACACTTTCCTGTCACGTGGAGCAGCACACACCATATGTGCTCATTACAAAACCAAAGAATGGTTCAGGTCATTACAAAGCTAACATTAGAGGAGGAAGCCAACCTGTGGGTTGTGCAGACAGGCTCTTCCCCTAAATTCCATAGAATGGGGGTGTGGATCCCTGATGTACCAGTGGAAATGGCTGTAATCCTAAGATAACAACAGCAAAATCTGAGCCTGTAGGCAGGCCTATGGTGAGTCTACAACTGTGGGCTGAGCCCCACTAAGGGGGTCCAGCTTGTTCTCAGAGTGGACAATTCCCTGGCAAAAGTTCTGAAAACTCTGACTTTCTAGCTGTGCTACAACATGCAAAAAACATTGTTAAAGTCAACTGAAGGCAGGAGCACTTCCTGCTTAATTATATGAATATGAGTACCAAGCTCTCTTTTATGCAAATCAATCTGCAACATAGCAAAGCAGCCACTCACATACTGAGTGGAAGACTGTGGGGCAGAAAAAAATCCCTAATACAGGAACTATGGGCCTTTAAAGGCAAGATGAAACATTTTGGAGGTTACTGCACATTATTTTATTATGTCCCTGTAGAAAACCCCAGGCCATATTTATATACCTACTGGTACTCAGTTCTGTTAGAGGTTGAGCTGTCCCAGGGCTATAGTGCTGCTATAAGGGTTAGGTCAAATAAAAAATCCAATGGCCTCATCAAGAATCAAACCCATGACCTTCAGGACATTATGAATTTAAGCACAATACAAAATATGCTTGAATAAACCCACAGCAGTCAATGTAGGAACCTATTTGTCTGATGACTTCAATAAAAGTGTTTAACTCGAATCTTAAGAACTATGTGTATATTTGAAGTTCAAACAGACTGCAAAGCATAACCAAGATGAAATCATCTTGTAATATTAATAAGCTCTTTCGACACATTGCTATATATTCAAAGATACTGCTCACCATAACAGCGTTGGGATCAAGTAGCAACTTCTGGGATGACTTGTAAATCTGGGGATATCTTCTCCGTAGACCTTGAATTACAGCTTCAGAACACAGTGCTCTAAGATCTGAACCACAATACCCAACTGCCTGCTCTGCTAGATGACTCAACAGATTGGGGTTGGGGGGCTGTTCCCATTGGCTTACGTGAATTCGTAAGATCTCTTGACGTTCCTGCATAGATGAAAAGACTCGTCAGGTCAGTCCGTCATGGTCTGGGATCAACCATCACACAAATTTACAATGAAAAACCTCCTCTTTTAATCACTAAACATACGCTACAAGTTTCGATTATAAACAGCCAGCATCATAAGAAATATACAAAATAGTAAAATACCTGTATTGTAAATGCAAATATTCAAATATATATAAAACAAATACAAATATAAATCACTCCGTCCAATGTGACCTGTAAGTTTTTTACTACATGAAAACTGAACACTCTTACATGTTTCGGTCTCTGCGGACCATCTTCAGAGGGCAAACATCACTACAAATAGGAAACTACCATCACATAAGTTGTTTAGACGTAAAGTACGTACACTTATATGCTACAATGAATAGTACACAAAATAGAACATTTCACAAACACAGCAGTTTCCTGGGAATGTAAAGTTTTTAAAAAATTATTTAAAATTTCTTGATGCTAATTAAAAATTTGTATTGTCAATAATTAAAATTCATAAACCATGCAGGCTCGTGTTCGTCCTCCCATCGTCCCCCTTGTATGGGGCAGATATTGTGCCACCTGTCTATCTGGATGTGGAGGTTCTTTATATCGTCCAGGGTTTGCTCATGGCCGCTGTGTTGTTTTCACTGCAGCCACGAGCAAACCCTAGACATGCGAAAAAAATGTGCAGATTATGGGGGTGTATTTTGTATCCATGCAAATGAAGTAGACATAAAACTACAAACTGCTACTATAACAAACTTAAATGTGTTAAAATAAAAATTATGTAAAATGACAAATGAATATGTGTACCAAGTGCACTAATTCCTAACTATTCAGCCATCAATAAACCAGTTCACACGTTATTCATGTGTATCTCAATGTCTTTTTTTTTTTCTTTGTTCGATGTGTATTCACACATTTTCACAAACATGATTATGTTCTCCTCCTTGCTGTCATCATCCTACTCATCATCATTGTAAACCCTCCTTGTCACCATCTATCCTTGTAAATGCATATATTTGCTTTCTCACCTCCAAACTATTACCTGATCGTCATCATCAGTAGCAGCATCATATTATCATTATCAGACAATGTGGAGGATGGGAATATTTGGAGAAAGTGGGAAATCGTAATGATAACAGTAGTAAGTCATCCATGTACATCAGTAATGTTACTAATATATGTGAGGGTACAAGGGCCCTGAACCGAATATTAGTTCCAAAATGAACCTATGTCAGCAACGGTAGACAAAACAAAGAAATAAAACTAGCAACAAATTAATATATAGCAACTTCACCACTCAATTGTCACTGCCTTTTGGAATATTCTCACGCGCACTGTCATCTGCAATCACATGCAAGCAGAACTTACAGTAACACAATAGTGAAAAACGTTCCAAAAAGTTGTCTTACACTGGTTCAGCAAATATCCAAATTATTTGTCTATGTGCATATACTGGATTTACAACAAAAAAAAAAACAATAAATCTTATGCATTTACAACCTTTTTAAAAATGTTAAGCTGAAACCTGTTCATACAATTTTTATTTCAAATGATTTATGCTTCCTTTATAACTGACCTACTATCCCTCTTCAAGCTGCTTACTTCATCCCTCAAACATTGTGGGGTAAAGTGCAGAGTGGGAGTTCGATCACAGTGCTACAGCTCTCAGCAAAACTGATGAAAATTATAAATGGCTGAGAAAAACAATCATTCTGTACTAATGGTCAAAATAAGAGTTGTACAATACAGTAAAACCTATTCAAGATCAAACAACTTGGCATTTTCTTGCCACGGACATTAAAATATCAAGGTAAATCAAGATTAACCAAGACTACATTATTTCACCTGAAGACAAGTGCACCAGAAAAATAAAGTTCTTTCACAGACAATTTGTGTCAACACTACACTCACTGTCTGGAAGCTGGCTGTGTGCCAGGAAAACCCAGAATCCCCCTTGTATTTACATACTAATATATCTTGAGTTGGCCAAATTTGGTTTATTATGATGAGAACTGCATTTTCTCATTTTGATTAAAAATATACAATTCTTTAGATCTTTCTGCTTTCAGCTTCAATGTTATTCAAAATATGTCAGTTCAATATATTGCCATGATTCTTAAAATAACACCACCATTTTGAAACTAAATTACAAAATATTATTTGGTTACCTTTTTTGCAGGAAGAGGAAAGTATAATTCACGGTCAAAACGACCAGGGCGCCGTAATGCTGGATCTATGGCATCAATGCGATTTGTTGCCCCAATAACAATGATCTCTCCTCTATTCTCAAGTCCATCCATTAGAGCAAGGAGAGTGGAGACAATACTTGCATGAATCTGGTCCTGTTTTGATGACCTCACAGGAGCCAAGCCATCAATTTCATCAAAGAAAATTATAGATGGACGCTTCTGGTAAGCCTAGTAAACACAAAAAATTCATCTCCAAGCATATACAATGGCATTGTAAAGTTAGAAGTGTGCTTTAAATTGTGGAAAATGATTTCTCCTCCTCCACATTTTAGTCATGCAGTGAACCATCACTCTCCTGGCCCATGGATTGATGAAAGTGGTCTACAATATCAGCCACCTAGATCTCCAGACTTCGCCACCCTAAATTTTTATCACTGGGTCCACACGAAAGATGCATTGTGCAAGCAAAAAATGAATACTCAGAATACACTGCTTCATTATAATTTGGACATTACATCCAACATAAAGGATAATCCTAACAATGTGTTCAATTCACAGACAAGCCAGAATTATTTTGAACAGTTATTGTAAATTCAGAAATTACTACAAATTCTATGTAAACACACGTTAATTTATTTTTACTCAATTAGCATTCCGGTAATGATAAAACCATAGCCATTGTGAACTGGATCCATGTCTGTAAGACACTTCTTAACCCTCTCACACTCAGCCTCTTTTCTAAGTACCTGGCCTATAACACTAAGGCAAATTTGGCTCAATGTACAAGTCACACTTCAAAAATTCACCAAAAATACAATTATGATCAAAGACATGTGAAAAAATTACATTTATTCACTATAAACAGCAGATTTAACAAAATAACCTACAAGCGCTAACACTATAAATAATTTGAAAATAATTAAAACTGACAGAAATATAGAAAATTAAAATTTACATAATTCAGGCAAAACATAAAATTGTCTTTCTGGTATTCCATTCTCATCACTAAGCCTGTAAGAATAATATATTCTGTAGTTCCATCAGGGGCACAAGTCATCTACAAGATTTTTCCATTTTCCCAATCTGCCGCTAAATACACACTCAATCCAGCTTCTTCCTGCTTCTGTCAGAGTGAATCTCCTCCAGCTGTTTCCTGGTCTCTCCCTTCCTCTGTTTCTTTCAGGATTCCACTGAACTGCGACCTTTGATGGATGTTCATCATCCTTCTTCAGCATGTGGCCAATACATCTAAATTTTCATTTCCTTATCACCACATTTATATCTGTTTGGCCAGATAACTGCCAGAGCTCTCTAGCTGAAATGGTTCTAGACCACCAAATTCTTAATATATATCTCAAATTTCTATTAATAAATATTTGAATTTTTCTTGATTCATTTGTGACCAGCCAGGTCTCACAGCCATATAAAAGCACAGATTTGACACAAGCATTGAAAACTTATATCTCTGTCTCTCTATTCATAAGGGTGGACTGCTAGACTTTTCACAGTTTGGGAAAAGCTCCTCATGCCTTCTGGAGTCTCCTGCTAACATCTAGTGTGGCTCCTCCATTTTCAGATAGTTGTCCATTTGTTCAAGGTGTGAACAAAAATCCTTGATCATTTTTCTGTGGTCATCTGCTGTGTCACCCATTTGTCACCTTCATTTTCAAACATGAAAGGGTCCAAGAATGCAAACTACATGACACAACAACAGTGACCTTCAGAGAACTCAGTCGTCATTCATGGAGTTCAAACAATTCTGACTAGCCCAATAACAGTATTTTGCATCTTTATGACTCAATTAACAAAATGTTTTCATCACTCATGAACAGTATTGTGACATGTTGCGCAAAGCCGAGGCCCCCCCCCACACCAGCAGTGACGCGGTGGGTGAGTCAGCGCTCCCCTCCCACCCCTCAGCGGTAACGTAACGCTCGCGTAATAGGCGAGTAATCACCCCGCATCCTGGCAGCTATGCGCGGTGACGTCACGAGCGGAGCCGAAGATAGCCGAGCCCCGTAACCGGGTAACTATGCAAGGCGAATCAACAGCGGTGACGTAACAGGATGACGTGGCACTCATTACGCAACAAGCAAGCACTGCAGCTATATAAGTGAGCTGCACAGTGGCTGCGAGTCAGTTATAAAGTAACAGTCGCCGAGTTGAAACATAGCAGCCTGCGAGTGTGCGATACTTAAGAAGTCAGCGAGCGGAAGACTTTTCGTGTGCTTTCCAGACATAGTGAGTGCTGTAGTACAGTTATACTCGGAGTGTGTAATTCAGGGAGACTTGTATAGCTCCCGCATTATTAGTACGTGAAGACTCTCGAAGAGAGTGTTAAGAGATTTTGTTCTAGGGTTTGTAAAGTGTGGAAACCCGTAATATTGTGATAATTAATTGTAGCCGTTATTTGAAGATTGTTAAATAAACCGATTAACCATCTCTACGGCCTATTCCGTAACGGAACATGTTACAGTATATTGGTAGAATCTAGGACTGTCTACTGATACACAAATGGAAAAAGGATAGAAGTGCAGATGGTTTAGTTTATCATCCTCTTAGTTCTTAAAAATGGCTATATTGTGACATGTTGACCCCTACCTCCCCAGCTGCACGTAGCGGTAACGTAACGCTCGCGTAATAGGCGAGTAATCACCCCGCATCCTGGCAGCTATGCGCGGTGACGTCACGAGCGGAGCCGAAGA